TTTCCGGTAGGTTCCCCAGACTCTCGCTACATCCGCGTGGAGACCTGCATGTTCATGATCAAGCTTCCGCAGTACTCCTCTCTGGAAATCATGCTGGAGAAACTCCGCTGTGCCATTCACTACCGTGAAGACCCCCTAAGTGGCTGAAGGGGGGAGCTCCAGAGTTAGGCTGTCACCGAGGCACCACTCTGCCGGCTTGGCAAGCCTGCCAACGCGGGCACATCCCTCCAGGGCCGTGCGTGAGGAGTTGGCAACATTTTGCTTCTCTGAACTTTTGTCCACATTCCAGGGCCTCCTGGAAGACTTAACCTTTTGTATTTGTACGTTTTGTGATGGGTTGGTTCTTTTGCTACCTGTTTATGGTATGTTTGTAGGGTAGTTTAGTTCCCAGACAGTTTGTGTCTCATTTGATCTTCCTGGACGTTGTCCTTCGTGGCCACCAGATTCTGATGCCGAGGCCCCAGATGGTTCCACATCACAGAACTACCCAGGAGGAAGCTGGCGCTCAGAGTCCTGTTCCTTCCGCAGAGCACATCCACCAACAAGCCTGCGGCCAGGCCTGCCTATCCTGCCCGGAGCTGGAGTTTCTCCTGGATGCAGCTCCTGCAGGCCTTCTTCCATCTTGACATGGTTGGGCCAGTTACCCAAACATGGGAGGTTGTGTGTTAATCTTCCAGCTTTAGAGCCTTGTCAGTGGTCTGGGTTTTCTGAGGAAATGCCCACAGTGGTCCCTCATCCCTTCCCACCCAGAAACACTGCTCTCCGTCAGTTCTGGGGCCCTGGTCTGAGTTTCCCCAAGTGCTCCTTGGGAGCAGGTGACCAAAGGGTTCATTCCCAACATTGGTGCGTCCAGCTCTAGTAGTTGAGAGGACACCAGGACTCAGAGGGACAATGCTTGAGATGGATGGATTAGGAAAGCACATGATTTAAGCCGACCCCACTCTTGTGCTCCGAGCAGCCCTTCCTCACTGCAGGGTCTGATGTGAGGACCTGAGGAAAGGGCCCACACCCATTTAAAAAGAGCTGTCCGAGGTGCTCTGCTCAATTCGGGGTCTACTTCAGTGACTGAGACCTTCAAGTCCAGATGGAGACACAAGGGGGTCTTTCTGCCCCCTGGCTGGGCCCCCCCCAGCACCCCCCTCACCGCCCAACGTGTGTGCCAGGGCTGGGCTGCCCCAGCTCACCCACTGCCCCAGTGCATTTGTGCCCCAAATAGGTCTTTGTCCAGTGGTACTTTGTTTGAGAGCCGCATACGCCATCTTGTTGGACACTGTCATTTGGGCCTTGCCAGTTCTCAGAATCCCATCACTGTATTTATTGTATAATAGTGTGAATATTGGAAGCTCCGAGTGAGTGCTGAGGGGGCTTTGGAGTGAGTGCTGGCGAGGGGACGTGCGCCTCCAGTCTCCTGCGGCCGAGCCATTTGGGAAGATACGTGGATTTTTGAGCCGTTAGGATCTATCTCCTCCCCATGACTCCCAGGAACTGCATTCAGGACCATGGTAGGACAACTCCCCGACCCAAGGGAAGGATAACCTGGATTCACCGTCTGGTCGCATCACTTACATTTGATGCAGGATCAGTGTCTGGAGGTGAGTGCCTGCCATTTCCCTGCTTGGAGAAGGTGCTTGGCCACTGCCTCATGGGGCCACAGCCCCCTAGACTGGAGGTCACAGCAGGATGTAGTCCCAACAAGGATCCTCTCTTGTTTCATTTCTGCATAATGAAAGAGCCTTTGGATTTATTAGAAGTGGTTTTTCCTCCTGTATTTTTAAATTCTTGTTCCCCTCCAATCCTTCCCATCCCTTGGATGAACTCAGAATTCTGTCAGCTACCTCCCCACGAGGGGTTTGGGAAGCTTCTGTTGGCCCATCACTTGATTAGATGACAGCTGTGAGTAAGTTATCTGCTGCTAACATGACTGCTTCTCCCAGAGAGCACATTGAGGTCCAGACAGATCTAATCCTTGGCCCTAAAACACGTGTGCTGTAAAGTTACTTGATGTATATTTATTATAATTATTTATGGTTGCATTTAACAAACTTTTCATTCAATCCAATGCTATTTACACCAATGCTGTGTAAAGGAAGCTCCCTACAGGAAAAAAGTCTCACCAATAAATAACCTTCATCTAATTTTGATTTACCCTAACAATTGTGTGATCTACTGTTTTAAAAAAATTTTTTCAGTTACAGTTGACATTCAGTATTGTATGAGTTTTGGGTTTACAACATAGTGATGAGACATTTCCATAACTGGTGACGTGATCACACTGATGAGTTTAGTACCCACCCGACTCTAGTTACTACGTTACTGACCGTATGCCCTGTACTGTGTTTTACATCCCTGACTTTCTATAACTGGCAATTTGTACATCCTGATCCCTCCCCCTTTTCACTCATCCCCCCAACTGCCCTCCCGTCTGACAACCATCAGTTTGTTCTCCAAATTTGGGTTTTTGTTTCTTCGTTAGGTCCGTCCATGTTGTCACAAATGGCAATATGTCATTTTTTAGGGCTGAGTAATATTCTGTTGTACATTTATACATCTCCTTTATCCATTTTTCTGCCGATAATTAGGCTGCTTCCATGTCTTGGCTAATGTACATAAGGCAGCAATGAAGATGAGGGTGCCTCTCTTTTCGAGTTAGTGTTTTAGATTTCTTCTGGTAAATCCCTGGACATGGGCCTGCAGGGTCCTATGGCAGTTCTATTTTCAATTTTTTGAGGAACCTCCATACTGTTTTCCATGGTGTCTCCAATTTGCAATCCCACCACCAGTTCCCGAGGGTTCCCTTTCCTCCGCATTCTTGCCACCACTTGTCGCTTTATTGGTGGTGGTGATTCTGACAGATGTGATGTATCTCACCGTGGTTCTAATTTGCATCTCTCTGATGGTTAGTGATGTTGAGCATCTTTCCATGTGTCTATTGGCCAGCTGTACAGCCTTTAGAGAAATGTCTGCTCAGGTCCTCTGCCCATTTCTTAATCAGATTGGTGTTCTAGTGTTAAGTTGTATGAGTTCTTACGTATTTTGGAAATTATCCCCTTACCAGATATATCACTGGCAAGTATCCTCTGCCATTCAGTAGGTTGTCTTTTGGTTTTGTAGCTTGTCTCCGTTGATGTAGTCCTATTTTTTTTTTTGTTTCCCTTGCCCAAGGAAACGTATCAAAAAAATGTTATTAAGAGCAATGTCAAAGAGTTCACTGCCTTTGCTTTCTTTTAGAAGTTTTATGGTTTTGGATATTACATTTAATCCATTTTGAGTTTATTATATATACAGGATGGGGCAAAAGTAGGTTTACAGTCATGAGAACACGCATTTATTCTTGTATTATTATTGTATTAATTTCCATATGAACAACTATAAATCTACTTTTGCCATACCCCGTAGTGTTAGGTAGTCATTTCATTTTTCTGCATGTATCTCTCCAGTTTCCTGATACCATGTGTTTCTGTGTATCAGGTTGATCTGCTACATTGCCCAGTCTTGGCAGAGTAGCCCGACAGGGACAGTTGCAGTCTCCGAGCTGAGTGCTCCAGGGGTGGACTGTGTGCCCTCCTGTTATAGCTGAGCTCTGATTGCTGTTGGCACATCAGTGGGTGGGATTGACCCTCAGGCTGATTGGCCGTGAGGACTGACCATGACTATAGAGGATGAGCTCTTGTAGAGGGGCTGATCTCACAGAGCAGGAGTCACTTTTGTGGGGCTCTGGTGCCAGCCGCCAGGTCCACCCTTTGGGTGTGTCATTTGTGGAGCTGGTTGGGCGATGCGCTGGTGTGGTCTGAAGCTGGCCACTAGGTATATTGGTTCTGGAGCCTCAGGATGGGCTCCAGTGCAGGACAAGGTCAGCTGCAGCTTGTGCCCAGCATGGGGCACCCTGGTAGGAGCTACAATGTGATCTGCAGTTGCTTGCCACTGTGATAGGCTTGGAAGGGCTTGGTACTCTTTGATGGACATCAGTTTCGCCTTAGTATTGGAGCAAAAGTAGCCCTAGGCTAATCCCTGCACAGGCCCTAGCTAGTAAAGCTTAAAAGTCTGATTTAAAAAAAAAAAAAAAAAGGTCTGATCTAGAAGGATCAAACTGTTCCCAAGTATGAAAACAAAGTTCAAGAATATTTATAGGAATTCAAAAATACCAGCAACCAAGTAGGTAAAATTCAGAATGTCTGGCATCCAACCAAAAACCACCAGGCATGCAAGAAAGCAATAAAACAGGACCCAGGAAAATCAGTTGAAACTGACCCAGAAACTACACAAATGAGTGTTCTATAGTTTTAAAAAGCTCAGGGGAAAAAAGAAAAACACTGGATATATTAGGTAGAGATAGAAAAAAATGGAGAAACAGGAAAATAATCTGAAGAAATAATGGCTGAAGTATTTTCCAAATTTGGCTGAAAACTATGAACTCAAAGATGCAAGACGCTTAATGAACCTGAAGTACAAGAAACCAATAGACGGGCGATGAAGACTGTAGAACACTGTGAACGTACTTTATAGTCTACCTTTGTCCAGCTGCTTTCTCTTAGTAAAACTCAGGCCTGGATTTGAGTCCTAGCTCTGCCATGAATTAACTACACAGCCTTTGCTAGCTAGTCACTCCTTTCCACCTATGAAATGGACCAGTTCTTCCCACTCCTCCTACCCCCACTACGTTGTTGGCAAAAAAACAAATGAGCTCAAAATAACCTAAGGTGCTAGATGGTCCTGTGCAAACTGTGAGGTGCTGAGGGGTCATGGATAATTCTGCTAAGGCTCAACTACTCTCAGGATTCAGGCTTTTGATGAATCTGCCTTTCTCTACTCAGAGAAAGCCCTCCCCCACCCAACATCATCACCAGAGCTGCAGCAACCTGTCAGTTTCCAATATAAGAAGGAGCTCACACTGTATCTGCTAAGCTTCCAGGAAGCACAGAGAAAGCCTGGTCCTGCGCACCTTCCCCCATGCCTCCCCGAGGTCTCCCGAGTGCACAGGAGAAGGGACCACAAGACTCAGGTGAACTTCAAGTACAAACTTTATTTCTATTACAAGGATGTTAGTCATTATAATAATAAAAAGAGGGAGATGGGGGCTCTGATACTTGGTTTTCAGAGTAAGTCACGGAGCTTAGGCCTCAGTCCCAATCAGGGCAGAGCCCAGCATGGCCCTGGCAAGGACTGGGAGGCCCTCGCCGTCTCCATCAGAAGGCAGCAAAGAAAAAGGAGCCGTCTCCCCACGAGAAACAGAAGGCAGTGACGCCAATGCCAAAGGCGTGGATTACAGCAAAGTCTCGAGTCCATTCACCTCTAGTTCAACTCATCTCCAAAAGCCTGTTCCTAACATATATTGCAACTGACCTGAACACCTCCCCACAGCTCCTCCACACACACCCAGAGGCCCAAATTCTAGCGTGGGGAGGGGCGGTACACAGGAGAGGTTATCCAAAAGTTCTCAAATTTAGGCCCTGCAGGGAAGACAATCACTTTACGGGTGGAAACTGGGTTTCCAAAACTCTCTCCTCTCTCCACCAGGCCCACACAGCACCAAGAAGCAGTGGTGATAGTATGTCAAAAGATGGAGTCCTGGTGGGCTGAGAGGCAGCAGCTAAAGCTGAAATATTTCTCAACAGCCTCCTTGGTAACCCTCCCTCAAACCCCCAAACATTCACATCACAATCTCAAAAGACACAAAATGGTCATAACCTAGAAAAAGTTAAATCCGTAAAATCTCCCCTGCCCACAGAGCCCAGGACGGGGCCTGCGCTGCGGCAAGTGCAGCTGTGCAGATGGCACCCCTGTGCGGGTTCTCTGCAGACACCATTACTCCTCCTCTTCCTCCTCGGCATCCCCAGCTCCCTGCTGCTTGGGAGGTTTTGCCTATTGAAAACAGAACGCAAATGAAGCTTACGTAGAGAGTGACAATGCAGCGCACCTTTAGAACTGGAAATGTCGAGCTTCCACAGACACCTCTTCATCAAAAGCCACGAGTAGCCTGTTGCCCAGCTCCTCTGACTTCAAGAACCATACCAGACCCACCCACTCCGAGTCCTCACTGAGCATTTTGGGGCTGGATCCCCAGTTACCTTTGCAGTCCTGTTGCGAAAGCTGGCGGTTGTGGGGGTGACCCGTGAGCTCCTGCCACTTTCACTCCTACCACTGAAAGAGAAGGATTGGAAACTAGTTTCTAAGATGCCCCTGAACAAAAGTCTGAAAACTCACAAGACAAACAGTTAGAAGCAGACATAATAAGCAGCTCTCTGTGAGCAGATAATACAAAACAAAAAAACCCACAGATAGCAAAAGAACATTTTGGAATCAGGCCACAACACAAGCAGAGTCCACACTCTCATGGTCTCCTGAGCTACTGACTCACCTTGACCCGTATCTCCCTGAAGACCCACGGGGAAAAGAGGGCGCAAGGTTATCTGGGTAGAGATTTCGAACAGGGTGAATCACTGGAACGTGCCCAGTAGCCATGGCTCCATTATGGCTGTTTCGATTCCGCCCCTGGGAGTCCTGGCTGTCTAAGTTGTTGAGCTTCATTACGCTGGGCTGGGAACCAGGTCTTGGGCCTGATGTGGATGTTGACACTCGGTTACAGGAAGTCATCATATTGTTAATGGGTCTGCTGGGGGGAAGAGGGTAGGTGGGCACTTTATCTGTTTCCTGCTTAATATCATCCATGTAACCAGAAGACAGGTCTCCTGTGGAGAGAAGAGAGCACTGGCTTTAGGGGAAAGACTGCTCTTGCTATCAGCACTAGTTGGGGCAGGAATAAAAAGATTCTGGGTAGAACATTAACTGCCTCACATCTAAAGGCTGCTGAAACCCAAGACTCCAGACGGGGTTGGGAACGCTTTGTCCACACTGTATACTTATTACATGAGTGCTCATATACCCAACCAACAACGATGTGCAAGCACACCTTGAAAAATCATTTCTAACTGGCTTTGTAGTGAGTTTCAAAAACAGTTTGATTGCCTAGTCACGAGACTCTTTAATAATGATGATGACTGATGATGATGGAGTACCCTAAGCAAATTTCAACTAAAGGTAGGGGGGCCCAGGGCAGCCACAGCTGAGGAAAGCCACAGCTGAATTATTACTGACTACAAAGCATGTCTCTTGGCTGTTCCCAAAGCCAGGACCCTATAAACCTACACTCGAGACCACTCAGTCTAAACATGGGACCACAACTAGCCCAGTGAGATCCTACTGTGCTTGGCAGTTCAGGATTCAGGGAACCCCCATGGTAGAGCAGCAGATGAGAAACAGTAAACAGGCCCGAGTCAGCAGCAGACCTGCTTTGGCTCAGCCCTGACTAATACCCTGGTGTCTGATACGCCTCTTGGGCAGCTCTGGTGAGGTCTCTCGAGGCTGGAACTCCTGTCTAGGAATCCCCTCCGTCACATGGTGGTTTGCTGTGGCTGGGCGTTGGTCACACTGGTCCTAACAAGAAAAACCAAAATTAGTACCTCTGGGCTGAGTCATTTCTAGGAGCGGGAGCAGTGGGAAGAAAGGAAGAAACATCAAGTTGGGTGGACACACCTTATCGAGGGGACTTTGAGGAAGGGCACTGAGAGGAAGGGCCTGGGACTAAGAGGAAACACATCTGGAATGGAGGAACCACTCCCATTAGCACCCAAGGTACCAAAGAAGCACTGCCTGGTTTGCGCAGGGATTGGAAGGGCTGGTGTTGAGAGCCCTAAAAAGCACGCCTATGCTTTGACCAGAGAGTAGCTGCATGGTTGCTTATTTCACAGTCTCCCGCAGGAGACAACAGCCCGCAGGAGACAACCAGCCCGCAGGAGACAACCAGCAGTCACATATCTACTGCCTGATCCAAAATCAGAAGTCTTTATTACACAAATGAAATGTGTGGCATTCTGGCAACAGCTACATAGCATCAACTGCAAAAGTGACCCTGAACACACCTGCAGTGTTCACTCCCCACAACAAGGAAGATTGGGCAGAAAATTTATTCCTCACTAACAGGCTGGAATCCTAGACTGCAAGAGCTGAAAAAGAACTTCAAATTGCCTAATCTAACTCCTTCGTTTCCAGATGTCCCCAGTGAGGGAGCAGGCTGTATCCAAGATCAACCACAGAACTAGAACCCCAGGTCTCTTGAAATGTAAGCCTCAAATGCCACCACAGCAGGAAGCATCTGTCTGGTCGAGGTAGAATGTGTCAGTGACCTCAGAGGAGCTCTCTCATCTAAACCACTCTGGCAAGTCCTCCACGCCCGCTTAAATGGAGTCCTGGCTTCTTGGTCCTCAGCTAGTGACACGATGGCTTCAGTTGCCAGATGGTAGAGAAAGTCAGACAGGGCATGCCCAGTAGCAGAGTCAGGTATGCATGCAACTTAAACACTAACGAAGCATTCTCAGCTCTGAAAACCCCAGGTTCCCCACAGGATCAGCATGGAGTGAGTGGGCAGGGCCTCCAGGGACTCTTACCTGGTGGTGGAACAGCACCTCCTCTTCCAGCTGTACCCCACAGAATTCACAAGGGATGATGATGCTGTCTTCCACAGGGGGTGAATTGCTCAGGCCCATCAAAGAGTCTAACTGGTTACTTGTAGCCTGCTGCAGAAACCTCTGGAAGATAACATCCTGGTCCTCCTCCACCACTTTGGGGGAAGTACTACCCATATTAAACGAAGGTAAGGCACGGGAAGGGTTACAGCTTGTCTGTCTCAAAAAAAAAAAAAAAATAGGTTAAAAAAAAGTTAAGGAAAAAAATACATTCCTAAAACATTTTCTAGAAGTCACAAACGTTTAATAATGCTTAATATTGGGGAGAGGAACTAGACGGGGTCAGGGCAATACAGATGGAAAACTTTTATTTTAAACATTTGTGTTTTTTGTTGTTTTTTTTTACTGTGTTCATGGGGCCTGCAACACCAACTATGGCCTGCACACGTCCCTACATAAAGCCAAAACTCAAAAGACAAACACACCTGATGTGTGTTTACTCAAGTAATTCACAACACACCTGATGGTCAATCAGCAGGTCCTCTGGGTAGAGCTCCTCACAAAATTCACAAGGCAACATGGTCTCATCAGCTGCATCTAGGTATCAGAGGCCACACAGAAACCAAATGAACAAAAACAACCTTGATTCAACCTGTTATCCCCCTGGTGGGGTTTTAATTAAAAGTCTGACTCTCTGACATTTCAGAGACATAGCAATTTGTGGGCCTGCAAATCCTCCAAGGGAAACTACCCAAGAGACAAACCCCAGACAAAAAACTTGCAACTATGGGAAAAGATTTGCTTGTCACCATTCCCTGAGTAGCATTAAAGCAGTAACTTTCCCACTACTCTCATTAAGAAGAAATTTAAATGTGTAATGATCCTAGGCCCTAATCTAAGAGCCTCCTGTGCATTATTTCAATCCTACATTACCTTCATTTCACAGATGAAGAAACTGAGGATTATATATTACTGGTAGACAAATATTCTGAGAAACCCTCCCAGTACAAAATATCAAAAGATGCTTAGTAAAAGTAACTTAGGTAAATAAATAACAGTGATGTTAAACCCAGGATTTCCAAAACAAAACAGCCTCAGTAAGACCACTGAACAAATGGAGGGTGAACAACGAGAGGAGGTAAGGAAACTGGCCTAACTAGGTTTTGGCTTTGGGTAGGAGAGAAAAGTCTCTATTAAAATTCAGTTTAAAACTGTTCCAATTAGTAGTATCCCTAGGTGCCTGCTAGAAGCATGTATACATACTCTCAGAGGAACACACTAGAAAACAATGCTAGCTCGAGTGCCTGCACACAGGGAGGGAGGCAGCAAGCCACCATGAGTGCGTCAACAGAAACAACAAAAAGAAAAAAATGTTAAGATGTGTTTTCAGACACGACAGAAAAATAAGAATATTTAACATGTTTAAAGATATCTTTAAAAGAGAACTGCAATATGATTAAGGTATAAGAGGTTATTTTGAAAATGATGACACACTGAAGGAAAAAGACTCAGACTCAAATAGAAATGAAAAATGTGTTATGTGCAAGGAAGGAACTTATGTGAAACTTCCTGGAAGTGGATCTGTATTGCATTTACACAGAGCACCCTTGTTCTTAAGACATACATCCTGAAGGACGTAGGGATAAAATGTTATTATCTGCAACTTCTTCTCAAGGGGGGGGGGAGTTATAAAGATCAAAGAAAAATACTAGAAATGGGGAATGTAGAAAAACGGGTATATAGGTATTTCCTATACTATTCTGATAGTTTTTAAAAATAGAAAGTTGGGAAAAACAATGAACAAAAAAGGCAAATTTTATCTCATGAAAAACTTTCTATTTTATATGAATTGTATAGCGTTAAGACCAAAAAACCTGTGGAGACAGAGGCTAGTGAAGAAAGACAGACCTACCCTTTAGGTCATTCAGAGCATTGGGACCTCCAAGGTACTGGTCTACCTCCCGCACAGCCCTCCAGAAGTCCTGGTCTGCCAATTTGGGGGCCTGGCCTTCATTTTGCAGACTTAGGGCCAACATGAAGTCCAAGTTTGCACTGTCTTCACCACCCTCTTTGGGGGACTGTCGGCTTCTATTCTTTTCCTGCCTTTCTTGCTCTTCCACTGAAAAAAAAACCAGTTCTCAAGATACATCAGAAATGTTGCCATGCTTTTGCTCAAGTCCATGCATCTGTGCAGGAACAAAAGAGGCCCAGCAGTCCAGGTCTCACAGGACTCCAAATGTGAAGTCTGCCAGATAAAGGGCTCCATTACCATTCTAATTGCTTTATTAATAAGCAATATTATTGAGCTTTAACTAGGAGATGGACACTGTGCTAAACATTTTATGTATATCTTCTGCATTGTAGCAAATGGTTTACAGCATGGGATCAGACTGTCTGAATTCAAATCCCTGCTCTACCACTTAACTCATGAGACTGCTGTGAAAATTAAATGAGTTAATACATGTAAAGCACTTTGCAAATGCCTGAAGCACACAGGGCATACTCGGTAAAATTAGCTGTTAATAGCATTGTAATAATTATCATCATCAAACCTAACTATAATCCAATAGTAATCCAATTCAAAGAGGTTCTAGTACTCCCATCTGTAGGAAAGTTAGGTGTTCTTCCTAATGCTACCTAGCTAGTCAGGTTTCTAGAATTAAGATCTATTTGGCCCCAAAGTCCTGTTCCCATTTGCCGAGACTCTGAAACCCTTCTAAAAAACACAACTCACACAAATTATTCTGAATTGGAAACTGGGTTGTCACGTTCCTTTGGTTGGTAGTCCTACTATGGAAAAGGTCCGATTCTAAGGCTGCCAGAGGCCTTCGGGGTAGCCTCATGGGTGGATCCAGAGACTCAATTTGTCTGAGGAGTTGGGATGCAATCCAGATTCCTTCTTGACCCCAAGACGCATCATATGCATTAGGAGGCATGGCAACCTCTTCTCTCTTTTTCTCCCCATCTCTCCCACAAACTTCAGGGTGAGTCTTTAGATCTTTCACCATGACATTACGCCTACAAATGCCACATAACTCTGTCCGGGCACCACAGTAGTCTTCATGATCCTTCAGTTTAAGAACAGCAAGTTCCAAATCACAGTGCTGGCAAATGGCAAGCCGTAGAGGACACTCAGTTTCCTGCAACATAGAATAACAAAGCAGTTAATATGCAAATCTAGGAGAGGCCATGGTTTAGTACAGGGCAAAGCAAAAAATATTTACTTCAATGTTCTCTTCCAACCTTCTATGTACTTAAGAGTCAGGGCTTCTCTCTGTCCCTACCACCAAGTTCTACAAAAAGAAAATGCTTAGAAGGAACCTACTTGCCTAGCTAGCGTGGTTCAGCAGTTGAGCATTGACCTACAAACCAGGAGATTGCAGGTCGCTTCCCAGTCAAGGCACATGCCTGGGTTGCGATCCCCAGTGGGGGTGTGCAGGGAGAGCTCATCAATGACTCTCTCATCATTCATGTTTCTATCTCTCTCTCCCTCTCCCTTCCTCTCTCTGAAATCAATAAAGATGTATTTTTTTTAAAAAGGGCAAAATGAAGTCACAAGATTTATAAGGCAGGTTGTGCGCTAAGGAGTTCGTACCACGCTGGCAACCCCAAGTTTGGCTTAGCACTCAGTGAGGCTGCTAATAGCCAAACTCCAGAATGAGAATGACAGACTCAGTTCCAAAGGGAAAGGCTCTGAGGTCTGAGCATGGAGCACAACAGCCATGCAGCTGAATCTGGCAGAAAACAGTTAAAGCCTCCAATAGGCTTTGAGAGGCGGTGTGCATAGACCTCACAGAGAACAAAGGCAAGCAGACTGGCTTTCTGCTCTGCATGTGGCTCTGTAATCTCACCACTGGCCATGGTAACTCACTCCCTTCATTGTGCAGGGAAACCAACCTCATGATTCTTTAAATGCCTCTTCTCCATCTTCTTGTTACATTTGCAGGCAACCTAGGATGAGAAGTGAGAACGAATAAATTGTGACAACTCGCTCACTTGCTAGTGCACAACAAGTATAATACATTCATGAACATTCGTGTCCTTGGTGGTTCACCTGACAATGTTCTGTCGCCATGTGAGTCTCCATGTCAGATTTGGGAAATGCTTCCTTGCAGATAGGGCACATACCAATGTTCCTCTGACAGTGGATCTCATGGATGGTAAAGTTACACACAGGAATTTCTTTTTTGCTACAGAATTAGATCAAAGAAAAAAGCAAGCATTACTGACTGATCTAGTTACTGATGAATCACGTGGAAACCTGTCCTGTCCAATCTTTATTTTCCATTATTTCTCTTTAGTGAATATCTAGACTATTAGCTTTATGATTGTTACTACCCCTGCTTTTCAAGAATTAACTCCTGAAGGTTTTGAGTCTTCTGGGCAACACTCTCTGAATTATCAGTGCTACGTACTAACTAAAAGCTCAACCTCACTTTCTAGACTTCAGAGCTGATCACAACCAACTACATAAAGTCAGATGCCAAAAAGAGCTGAGCTAGGCTTTTCCAAAACCATCTATCCCCCCAAAGCACAATGGTACACTCCAGGATTATTAAAAAACAAAACAAAAACAAAGACAAAAAAGCCATGGCCAATTTGGTTCAATGGTTACAGCATCAGCCTGCGGACTGAAGGGTCCTGGGTTTGATCCAGGCCCAGGGCACGTACCTTGGTTGCAGGCTCCTTCCCCAGCCTGGTCAGGGCATGTGCAGGAGGCAGCCAATGGATGTACCTCTCTCAAATCAATGTTTCTCTCTCTCTCTCCACCCCCCCACTCTCTCTGAAAAAGCAATGGAAAAAATATCCTCAGGTGAGGATTTCAAAAAAAAAAAGGGGGGGGCTACCATTTATTTTCACTTTCAGTCTGAGGTAGGTTTAATCTCATTAGATTTTATCCCACTAAAAGTCAAACCAGGCTAAAATAGTGTTTTAAATGGCAGAAAGTGATAGAGGCATAGTAGAAAAAAATATCCTATAAGGCAAGATACCCTCACAGAAACAATTTTTCTTTCAAGAAATGAAATCTTAATTCCATGCAGGGAAAGAATATTGTCACCAGCAGTTGCCCTCATTATATCCTAATTCTGCCAGAAGGCTGAGAATTGAAAAATTGTTAATAAGAGAAAAATTGTTATTTGACTTGAACCTTGCACCAATCTGCATCAAACTACTATCCTTATTAAACATCTCTTTCCTTCTACCACGATTTGGTAAATTAAACATGACAGGCAATTCTGCTTTCTTTAGCTTTTAGTAAGAGCACTTGTGTATCACTAAAATATCAAGTTCTTGAGAAATCCCAATCAAGAATCAGATTAGTGCACTAAGTTTCACTTCAGCAGAGTTGCTTTCTTGTCACTCACGTGGGTAAAAACACCAAAATAGAAAGCCTAATGTTCGAGACAACGCCCAGTCTGCACTAACAGTTTTGGAATTGTGAAATGATGATTAATCTGGACTGCCAGAAGACTTTAGACTGTTTTTTTTGTGTGTGTGTTTTTTAAGCAATTGAACATTCCTTCAGCAAAATTCATTATAAAAACAGTTCAGCTGCTCTGGTTGAACTGCTCGCTCACTACTAGAGTAGAGCCAAGCTCACTAAACTTTGATCTCAATCATCCCAAAACAATCAGCTACTGTAGCCACTCAGGGAAATCCTTGCAACATAATCTGAAAAAAATTCATCTAGCCCAATATTTTATTATGCCTTTAGTACTTTTTTAAAAAATGTATGATGATATTTTTCAGAAAGACCAAAAATAAGTTCCCATATTTGTAGGTCAGAAAAGTGAGGCCCAAAGCAGTCAAGTGAGTTGCCAAAAGTCATTAACTAATTAAAAGCAGGAACCAGAGCCCTGAGGGCCAGCTTCATCCTATCACTCTAGACACTACAATACTATGATAGCTAAACCAATTATCTCGTCAAATTACCAAAACAGGCACTCTTACAGAAAGTTGTTGGAAAGGCTTTAGACCCATACATTTGCAGGACATATTATACGGCTCTAACTTCAACCTGACATAAATAAGCCAGCTCTTTACAGAAGCCAGTTTGCCCTCATTCCAGTAACATTTCTTAGATTAATTTCTTACCAGTTGTCACACAGTCGAGTGTCCTGATCATCTAGAAATTCAGCCATCTTTTAACTCTTCCGGAAAACTACAAAGGTAGAAGTGAGAACTTTCCATTTCATTTCTGCTTTAAGAATGACAAGCAAAACACACACACAAACTGGTGCACAGAAAATGTCACAAAAACAAGTGCACTTAAAGCATTTTATTTAATACCCAACACATGGGTTTAAAATAATTTGACTCACAAAAAAACAGCACAAATAACTCCCACATACTCCTCACCCAAAACATCGTAACCATAGTAAAATTATAGAATGTAGGAAACTAAAACTAATACAATACTAACAACTAGTCAATAGGTCTTCAAATTTCACAAATCATCCCCCTAATACCCTTTTTCTGGTTCAGGATCTAATCCAGGGTCACATACTGCATTTAATTATTTCTCCTTAATCATCTTTGATCTGGGCTATTTCTTCAGTCTTTCTTCATCTCGTATAACCTTGTTAAGTGTATTGGCTAGGTATTTTGTAAAATGTCCCTCAGTCTGGTTTTGTTTGCTCATGATTAATACATATCTGGCAAGAACACCACAGAAGTGACGCTGTGTGCACCTTGGTGCATTATGTCAGAAAACATGTGATGTCAACAGGCTTATTATTACAGGCGATGTTAACTCGGATCACTTAAGACAGAGTCTGCCAGGCTTCTCCACTGTCCAGTTTTTCCCTTATTTTGAAACAAGGCATCAGTGCAGAAGGCAAAAGCACTGGCAGTTTTATTACCAATATTTATTTTAGATGACTCCTCCCCCTGAGCAAAAATGATCTTAAATACCACCCCAAAGAGGGCTCGGCTGTTTAATGGTTTTGACATCTCCAGACAAACTCATTTTTCAAAACACATATTCATTCATTCATTCATTCAACATGTTAACTAAGACCCTGGTGCCAGACACTGTGCCCTGGCATGAAGAATACTTTACAAACTGAAGAAAGATCGTGTCCGACCCAACAGATCAGTAAAAGACAAAAATAAGCAAAAGAAATAGATATACCTCAATAAGGGTGAGTATTTTGATAGAAAAGTACAGAGACAAAGGAAGATGGGCGTGGAGGAAGCCTACGTTAGACGAGGGTGGTGGGGAACTTTCTGAGCCAGCCGTGCAAACACGCAAAGTTAAGACAGCGGATGGAGCGCGGAAACACCCATCAGGGCAGCGGGCCTAGGCGGCGACGCGAAGTAAACACAGCTCTGGGGGAGCGTAACGAAGAGGGCGGCTAACGCCAGAAGCCTCGTCGCGAAGGGCAGAGAGGACGCCGAGGACTTCAGACTCCGCGGGATTTAGGGCGGGACGCGCTTCCAGACGGCCGCCGCCGGACCAGGAAAACTAGGGCTAGGAAACACCTCTCTACGAAAATAAATCACCTTCCCAAAAGGTACTGCTCTCAGGGCGGATTCTAGGTGTGACCTAGTCCAGCCCACTGAACCGGGGCAGAGCCTCGGACGGGCTAAGCCCCCGGTTTTCTAGCTGCGAGGGGACTGGGGCCGGCCCCTCTGCCGCCGAGCGGTTTAACCTCCCTGGGCCTCCAGCTCCTCACGCCGACAACCGACGGTTGCTTCCAGGGGTCCTCACGAGCAGAGACGCGAGGGCGCGGAGGCGCTGCGGGGCACAGCCGGTCTCCCGCGTCAGGGCGGCCCCTCCGCGCCAGGGGGCGGGGCTGCCACTTCGGGGTCCGGACCCAGGAAGCGGTTTGTAAAGCCCCTCCCCAAGCGACGTCGGGGTCGGCGGTCGGGGGTCGGGGTCCGAGCGGGGAGGGCACCAGCTTCGCACCCTGCAGCGATTAATTGCGTTTACCGCAAACGCTCGCCACCGACCGTCTTTATAAGTCCCGGCCGCGACCGTACCGGGTGAAAGGCATTATGCCCACTTCAGGGACCGCGAAAGCGGAAGTCCCGGCAGGGAGACAGTTCCGCGCCGCAGTGGGTCAGGTGGGGAATCGAAC